GTTGATCTCGCTAAAGGTTCCCAGTTGCATTGTAACTCACACAGTCTTAACTGATTAACTGAGTCTTAACTGAGTATTTTGAGCCTCTGCAGCAGCACTGCTTTCTTTCCATCTCTTTGCGTTTCCTAAACTCAAATCAAACTGCATAAAAACAACTTTACTCATGTGAAAAACCTTCCTCTCTGAGAGCAATGTCAACATGAAACAGTGAAAAAAATAATTTACATTCAATTTTCTCAATAACTATAATTGAAGTCTAAATGACTATAATCAGGGCTTGTTAAAGTAAGCACAACATTAGGCTAACAAGTGACAGAATATATTTAAAGGTGCATAAAAAATAAAAAGGCTTTCCGAAATGGATTGCTCACAAAATTGGTCTACAACTCATCTAGACTGTGATTTGGATGAAGCTCAGACAACATTTATACATAGTAGTCCATGCAGAAATCCTTACAATTCCAAAAGGTCCAAAAACATTTGCTCTTAGAGGTGTATAGGTTTGTGATTTCGAGGATGAGACATAAAAGGTAAGACATGAAACACTGGAATACCTCAATCTCATCTACTCCATGTATGATCTGATCTGTCCAGTCAGATATGGGCAAGAATGCAGCACTGGGTAAAGGCTAGCGGGAAGAGACTGAGTAAAGCTTTGAAAGCTAAATCAAAATCCACCTCCAGCAGCTTTGAAATTAAGCCTCTCAAATCCCAGAGGATCCCAGGAGAAACGCAAGGCTGCCCGTCAAACTGCACTGCTAGCAGAGGACAGAACCACAGCTGCAGAAACTTTACACAATCCACGCAACATGACTGGTTTTGAACAAACACATGCACACTCAAAGACACTTTGTTCCACACAGGCAAGGACTGTGTAAAACACTCTGCGGTTGGCGTGCTGTAATATTTCCTTTCATGAAGATATTTTAAGAATCCCATTTTTCCGATTTTCTTCTGGCTGCAATTTAAATCCAATTAACCCGCTCACCTTCTCTCAGCCTCCAATTCTTCTTTTTTCAAATACTTCCATTAATTCATTCACAGTTAACATCAAATCTAAATTTAATGTTGGAGTCACTTCTTTCATTAAGCTATAAATCTTCCCTGGTGAAACTGTCAAGATGCTGATGTGTTTTTACCGTGACAGTGAGAATGTAATATTCATCTTTTTTAAGCCAATACTTCCTGTAAGCACACAGTAAACTACAGAAACACCTTAAATAACACACTACTGCACTACTGCGTACACACAAAGCAATTGAGTGATTTGAGATGTAGAAATCTGTCTCTGCCCTCGGAGCGGATCACCAATAACAATCCACCCGAAACAGCCTCCAGCACACCGCCACTCAAATATAAACGTCATGTGGATATCCCGACAGACAGATCAATCATGCAGATTTTATCAGTGTGTCTAGCTAGCTATTATTTTATTTGCTGTGTCGATCCTTTATGTCATTGTACAAACACTAGACACAGCAGTTGCAAGGAGACAGTGGGTTTAGCTAAAAGCCTCACATTTTGAAAGCTACACCATCTGTGGGCGGACACTCTGTTCTTCTTCTTCTTCTTGAAGATGAAGATGGTACTTTATGACTTCATGGCTGCATGTTTGCAGTTGTTGCCAAGCAGACTGATCAAATGTGCAGTTATTGTGCGATTTGGAAAGGAAAACTACTGTCACCGTCTACTTGATTCATTTTGTAGATTCACACTATACATTTGAGTAATTAAATACATGTAAGATAAACAAACGTAAAGAAAACTGAAGGTGCAATTTAATGCATCATTTGGACATCAATATGACTATAAGAAAGAGAGCTGCACTTAACTGATCAATCAAACAACTACTTAAACTGCTTAAAAACACACACATTTGTATGTATAGCCACTGATTCACAACAGCAGTCATCTCACAAACCGTCAGGTAAACGATTACTCGTCCTTTAACCTGCCTTCTATGTCTTGAAGTGCAAAATTCTGCTCTCTATGGAAACGGAGAGTTTACAGGTACATTTAAAATTGTGCTGTATGGCTTCAATCACAAAAACTTGTGTATGTAGAAAAAGAGCAGCATTTTTAATAAAAAACAAAATGCACCTTGTTGATTTTTAGCATGCATTAGTAAATATACTGTCTTGCTGTTGTGCGGTCTTATAAAGTGTTTTGCTTTTCAGTCTAGTCTATGCGGTGCACATAATAAGAGCACACTGCAACACAGCACACTTTAACAGCATTACAAACTAACTTATTCAAAATTGACCAGAGCTGAAAAAACACTCATCTGAAACAGTGTAATCAGAAAATAAACATTATGGCTTTCTTCTTTTCCCCCTAATAAACAGTGTAAAAAATAGTTGTGGAGTAACACTGGGGAAAACGCAGTTTGAAAAATCTGTTTGCGATAGAGGGTTATATACTTTCAATCTGTTTAAGATTTATATTTTGAAAAAGAAAAAGTGTTTGTCCAGGCATTTCCCAAACCACTGAATAAAACTGTAAACCGTTTGCGAAATGCAACTCAGCGGACATCTGTCTCACTGAGTGCGAGTGGAAGATCTGCTGACCAGCTGCCCCTCCCCAGTCGCAGGCTGGAAGTCTATACTTATGCACCTGTCAAAGGTTAACATGTTGGACCTGTCAAAGGTCGTGTTCAACATACTAATTAAACACACAGTAGCACAACACAGAGCATGATAGCAACCCATTACTTATGTTTGTCAGTATATCTGCATATAACATTCTGGCTCTTATTTCACGTGTTAATCTGTATCTCGCAAAACAAGCAAATATATATTTCAACAATCTGACACTTCATATTGCAGTTATAAGTATGAGTATAAGTATAGAATAGAACAGAATAGAATAGAATAGTGTTTATATTTATACAGCCCCTTTTACCAAACACACTGCACTAAGGGGAACCAGATGGGCACTCCCTCCTGACAGCCGAAATCCCTGTGATGACAGATCCTCTCAAGCATACAGCATGACACTAGAGGACAAAGCACCTGTTGCCCCTTGCCCACAGAAACACTGGCACTTTCTCAGCCATGAGGTCATTGCCTCACACAGGCCAAAACCGGCTGTGCCACCTGCAAACATCCCAATCCAGAATGATCACCCAAACCTCTGCTCATGCTGCCACTGTTCTCATGTAACCAACCTTATGATCCACTAGCCTTAGTGGAGAGAAAACCCTGCACTATATCACACTATATATATCTGGAGTATCCCCTCTCATGTGACTGTTATGAGCTCATCTAGCTCACATGTGAATGCTTAGACACAGAATAAAGATTTAACTTTGGATTTAGCAAAAGGCAGCATGGACTATCACTCACAATTCGAGTGCCTACCAATATGACCCAAGTCCATCTTTTTTCCCCTCAATTAAACAACAAAGCTGTTAATAACACATTTCTATAGACACACGTCTGAACTCCAGATGTTTAACTAACCATGGCGGGATTTTCCAAGCATCATCTGGGTTACTAATGACACATCTTTCTTTACAGCATATGACTCAAAATTTCGTTATGCATTTGCATGTTAGTTCAGAATAATGAAGTGCATTAGATTGTTGATTGTTTTCTTTTTTTTGTGACACCAATGCTAACTGTCACCTAGCACTTCTTTACAGAGAAGAGGGAGATATTAGATAGACAGCTCCAATACGCAACCTGAATAGCATCCACAGATGTTCTTCACATGTCCTGTGTGGTCAGTGTGTAGGTGCTTGTTAGCAAGACAGATCTGTTCATAGAGCCAGCTGGCTGTCTCCTCAGCTCTTCATTAACACGTCACTATCCTTGATTGACCCACAATGGTCCCCTATATAACCACACGGTCAGAAAATTTGCTATTGATCATCTGGTAAAATTAAATTTTGCTATCATTTTGTGGACCACTTATGCTAAGAGTTTATTGCATCGAAATTACTTCTTATGATACAAGGTTATTTATCATAAAACCAGCAGATTAATGCACAGTAGCTTTACACAGAAAACGCTGCCAGATCACCCTAATATGGGAAGAATCTGGGTAAAAATGTCACAACGCATGAATGAATGCAGGTCTGGGAAAGTACCAGCTTGGTTTGTACAGAGCGCTTTGAGTGCTTAGGTAGAATAGACGCACGCTATATAAGAACGAGTCCATTTACCATTTACTTTGCTACCTACTTTAGCGAAGATCATTGCCAATATCTGTGTACACATTTACTGTAAATATGAATAGGTAGAGCAATTAAACAAATCAATTTAAAAAGAGAAAGACGTCAATGCACAATTTCTTTACCTCACTCTATTTATTTATTTTTTAGTATCAAAATTGATTAATAAAAGTAAAACTGAACTTTAATTGTACAAATTCCTGTTGGTGACAGACTGGTAATCCAATTCTAAAGCTGGTGAAGGAAATTAAGTATATACATAAAGTACCACAAACCTGATTAGAAGTGCTGGCTTCTTTTTTCTTCATAAATCTCTTGAGAATTTTTATTATTATTGCCCTAATCTTTACATTAAATTCCTTCAAAATGCTCCTGAGTGAATGAGCTCAAATCAAAATAAACTATTCAGGTGAGACCCACTTAGTCATGTTTTAACCAAAAAAAAAAAGCAAATACAGGACTGCTTTTGTCACCATAGCTTTCCTCTGTTCTTTATAGAAGTAAAATATCTGAGTGCTTTCAGTCTCCACTTACTTGTTGTTCCCGATGCAGAGTACATCATTGCACTAAACTTCAAGGACTTTCAGTGATATTAATTTATTTAACATAATTATTTCCCTGCAGTTCTTTATCACCCCTTTTAATTTGACTCAGAGGTTGCATTAGGACAAACACAGTTTGCACTGACAGCTCAAATCCCAGCATACTCAAGTCAATCCAAATCCCAGCATACTGGGTTTTGGAATGAACAGAGCAGAATTTAAAACAGTAGGAAAAAAAGAATATGACTGTGCCATCTCTCAAACAGCTTTTTTCTCCTTCTTACCTTATGTCTAGACTGTGGCGGCGTTGATTCTTGTTCTTTCCTCTCCCCATCTGAGGCTCCGGGCTCCAGCCTAGCCCTGTCCTGCTGCATGTTCTGTCCCACCTGCACCATTGCCTTACATTCCTTACATGAGCCAATCACCAACCTCCTGCCATCATCCACAAGGAGCATGCGTGTGCTGCGAGGTGCATATAAGAACACAGGTAGTCTGGCCACAGTAACAGCGCACAGCCTACCTTGCCTGCGCTGCTCCTGCCTGCAGAAGAAGCACACAAAAACCTCACAGCTGTACTGGCGTGCCCAGGGTGAACTGGGTGGTTGGGGGTTGGCACTGGATGAGCTAGAGGTAGAAGGGGTGGGCTGACCTAGACCTTTGCTCTCGTGCTGGGCCCACTGAGCATGCAGGTCATGGTAGCAAAGCTTACAGGCTGACACCAGACCTGTGGCATCAACTGGCTTGGCATGGGGTGCAGGAGGATGGACGGTGAGAAATGGAAAGAAAGGCTCCCTCTCACCACAGCGACCAGGCGGGTTAACATGTAGCTGGTACTCTCCTCCTGCACACAGCTCAGCTCCACACAGGTAGCACACTGACATGGAGGTGCTGGGATGTGAAGCCACCCCTGTTTGAGGGTGGGCTGATCCAGAGACATCGATAGACATGGCAGCATGGTACCTGACAAGGAATGAGCTGACAGAGGTGATGAGGTCTTCACTGAGGCTAAGTCGATACGCACTCCAGATCTCCTCCAGGATAAAATGGCACTGAGGACAGCAGTGCACACGGCCGTTCCTCACTCCCTGTGCATTAGGGGGGCAAGGCAACATATTAATGAAAGGAAAGTACATCACACCACGGGATTTGCCAACCCCTGCCTGTGCATATGCTACTCTCATGTCTCCTCCACACTCCTGTCCACAAAGGAAGCAGGCCTCGTGGGAAGCCTTAGGTTCAGGTATGCATTCCATGGACCCTGAGGATTTTCCCTCCTGCTGATGAAACTGGGAAGAATGAAGTCCAGTTGTGGTCTGGTTGAGGGGGACTACATACAAACGCTGAAGGACAGGCACATCAGCCAGCTGAAAGCTCTGCCACTGCTGCAAGAGAGAGGTGTGACAGCTGCCACAGACAAAGGTTATACCTGCTGGACTAATAGGTATTGCATTATGGGGTGGGGAGTGAAGCCACAAGAAGGGAAAGAAGGGCTCACCCTGTGCCCTCTCTTGTTTCTGAACACTGACTTTAAAACGTCCATCATGTCTGAGCCCAGCGCCACAGATGTAGCACACACACTCTTCTGGACTGGAGTTTGCAGTGTGGTGTGGCTGATCTGCAACAGGTCTACGTTGTGTTGTGCGGTCTGTTTTGCGGTCATACGATTCCCTGTCGTCATCGCTTGTAATGTTAATCTCATCTTCAGAGTTGTCAGAGTTATTCTCCCTGGGAGGAGCCGTGTTACGTTTAGAGATGACAGCAGCGGTGCCAGCAGAAGACGCAGAAGTGCTGGAGTTCTCCTCGCCTTTTCCCTGGTACAGCAGCGATGGATGCTTGGAAGGAACACAGCTGCTGTCGGCTACACGCTGGATCTGATGCGACTCCACATGTCTGACATTCTCCTCCTCCAGCCACCGCCTGTTGCGCATAATGACCCCGTTGTCTTGCACAGGTGTGTCAGAGAGCGAGCTGTCATAGCATCGCCGGGGGAATCTCTCCTGGGACTTTGCCAAAGATTCTGGTGATTGACAGATATTGTTCATAATTTTAGCACTGCGCCTCGCAGTCAGAGCACTCTCCGCTTTTGGCGATCCCTGCGCCCTATAAACACCCACCGGGTAACGCACTGCCCGCTGTGTATCTGGGCTGTTTTTAATACCGATACCATTGTTCTTCCTGCTGCTGTCTCTGGGCGATTTTCCAGATGCTCTCACAAACTTGTCTTTGCCCACACCGACTCTGTAGGCAAAATCCATCTCCTGATCTGAAATGTTCTCGTTTTCTGAAAAAGAAGAGAAATCAGACTCTGCGCCCCCGTCGTAGTTTTGGCTACTGACACTGATCCTCCTCTCCAAATCATAGGAGATGTTCCACTCCTGTGGGACCCGACGAGAGTCGCACTGGTACGGACGTTTCAGCCAGTACATGCGCTTCTCAATGGGTGTCCTGCTCCGCTCGAAAGAGTTCCACTGCTCCGTTAGAAAGCAGTGACATACAGCGCACACCAGTACATGACCATCTGGGCTCACTTCACACGCACCCGGGGCTGGCTCCTGATTTTGGAGAAACGGGAAAAAGGGGATCCTCTCTTTTTGATATGCCACTTGTAACCTTAATTCCTTCCCCGGTGTAACTCCGCTTCCACATATAAAACAGTGAACAAGTCCCCCCAATCCATTCCGATCAGTCCTGGAAATGTTACCGGGCAATGTGCTGTCTTCACCGGGCATAGCTGCAGCCATGAGTCGGTGTTTCCGAGATAAGGGTGCCAATTCCTGGTCACGGGGGGAGTTCATTGTTTCACAACATGTAAGGCTAGGCTACATGGCATAACGTCAACAACACACTCATATTCGTGATGCACACTTGTGCCCAAGTCAGAGAAACCATGCAGTCAATTTCTGTTCAAGTTACTCACTGAGTGATAAGATAGATGATAGTCCATTGAAACGACAGCGTGCGGCAACCGCAGAAAACCGTTAACTGTTATTTTTCAAGCAAAACATCCATAAAACATCCCAGTAGTCCTTGTTATCTGAAGACTGTAGTCCACATTATTGCACTCGGCATCCGTGGGTATGACAGAAGAAAAACTTGGAATCACTGTCCGCCTCTCCTGCAAACTTTCCTGCCTGCGCCATGTAACTTTGGCTGCTAACTCGCTCACACTGTACACAGCGCCATCCTCAATTCATGGGACCCGCTTCGACACCCCCAAAGGAAACCTCCACCCCCTGTCAGCCCCAGTAATAATTTTACAGAGAGCACACATTCCTTCAGTAGCTGCCGATGCATCAAAGTACTGACCATGCACAGGATGTCCACAGTTTACAGGGGGCGTGCATCAGCCCGACGATCAGGCTCCTTCGTGCGTGGATCACCTGTGAGCAAAACCTCAAAAACCCATTAGGGAAACGGTGTAGGATAAACTTTCCATGAACACTTTTTTCCATGCACAAAGGTGAATATTTTTTTTTTCAAAAGCAGACTTTTGTTAATTTAATTACGCATAGATATTTATGGATTTTTAAATATATATATATATATATATTAATGTATTCGAATTAATAGATTAAGATAATGTATAAAACTGATTTTCCAGAAACGTGGTCTGTTTACATATATCAACAAATTAGTGGATATTAATTCCCAGTAAGTTTTTAGTGTTATTTAGAATTTAGACTACATTATTTGGTGATTTTTAATGTTTGTTTACTGGGTGAAATGAAACGTAGGAGAGTTATACAGTTATTCTTTTATGACAAGTATGCAAGCACTTTTGCTTTCATATCAAAATAATTCTGAACTCCTAGACAACAATTATTATTATTATTATTATTAATAATAATAATAATAATAATAATAATAATAATAATAATAATAATAATAACAACAACAATAATAATAGTAGTAGTAGAAGCAGCAGTACTAATGACACTTTATTAATATAGCACCTTTTCACACAGAAAGCAGATATAAAAGTCAACACACACACAGAAAGATCAGTCCCCTAAAAGAGGTGATAAAGAGGGCTGTGAACCAAAATTGACCTCCCTCTAACATACGCCCACTCTTCCCTTTGCTGACCTTTAGCATTTTACACAACAAGACTGGGCAGCAGGACAAGTCCAGCAATAAGACCACAACAGTAAGCAAAAACAATTATGACTGTCTGTCCCATTGTGTGCTGCCCCTGGGCTCATCTGCTGTTCAGTGATCCACTGATGTCAGAGAGTCAGAGGCTACCACTTTCTATTTCTGCACTTCTCCATTATCTCCTCCACTATCATGTCATTATCGCTACTGTGCCACCTGAAGAAAACTGTATCCTCCTCAAGAAATCTCAGAAAAATGTGATTGATCATGCACACAGAGATGAGCACAGGTTAAGAATGAAGTAAACCAAAGAAGGTGCTCTGATCTATTGCTGTTTTGCATTTAAATTGCATACTCTAGTTGCTCTTTTCTGGCTTAAAGTTATTCCTAACACATACTCAAACACTAGTGGCTTGTAGTCAACATAGATTTACAATACTGCCTTGTACCGTCAGGCTTTGGTACTGCATCATCTGGGAAATCCCCCTGCCCAGCCAGTTAGAGGCTCATGCAAGCAAATCATAGATGAGCAGAAGAAAAACACCGTAGGGTTATAAGAGGAGCAAAGGAATGCAGATTGCAAGTGATTTGAATGAAATCCTCTTGTTGAGCAGTGTAGGGCCTCCAGGAGGTTTGTCAGAAGAAGGTGATGACAGAAGTGGGGGGAGGGCACAGACACTATGTTTTGTGCATGTGAGTGTGCGCACTGAGGGAGGGGACACCTGCCAATGTGCTTTAAAATGCATAAAATTTCATTTTGTTCTTGTTCTATGTTTTTGATTTCTATTCTTTATTTAAATAAAAAAAACTACCTCTAAACTCAGAGATTTTTGAATGTGTCTGTTTGGATGCATTACTTCAATGTCCTGCATGTGCCTGTGCTTTAATGGACATATGGGAGGCATTATTTTACTGTTATACCACAGGACTCCACGGTTCACCAGTGAGACCTCCTGGAAATTACACATATCAATAAGAGGCAAATGGGAAACGGATTACTATTACCTTTATCTACCATCAAATGGGAGAACTCTGCAAGAAAGTTCTGTTTCAAAGCCTAAAAAGAATTAAAATAGCAAAACTCATATAACCTGCTGACTGTGGGTCATTTTCAGCTGGACAGTGGTTGTAACCTACAGCACTTGCAATGCTTGAGTCTAATATAATAAAACCTCTGTGATTTAATTTCTCTCGAAGTTTGCTTGTTTTACACTAAACATCCCCAAATCAACTGTATGTTTTTTTTCTTAACAAGAAAAGTAGTGCCATCTAACACCTTCCTCAGGTCTCTCTTTATCACTTTATACCCACCAGTAGGAAATCTTCTACTTTTCATACCTGCTCTTTCTATCAAAGCCTATTTGTCCATGTCATAATGCTCAGCTACACCTACACAGATGTTTTCTCTTATTTTGACTGATTAGGCCTCTCCCACAGGACTTGCTGGACTCAAACAGACTGAGTCTGATTGACACCCCTGACTCTTTTTGTAACTTTAGTCACATAGCTCAGTCCTCTTTCCTCTCTCTGTACCTCACTTTTTAAAATACTGTTCTGCTGTCAATTTGGGGGGGCTGTTCACAAAAGATGTGCATTTTTCCAAAATATTTTCATGCTGGTTTATATCAGACACTTGTAATATTTGTGTTTGCTGAGAATAACTGGTTACCACTTAAGTCTTGTTACATTAGAGCCCAATAAACTACCCAAGTCTAAACCCCTTCCATTTATATTTTGCCTAATTTATTAATTCCATTATTATCACTTGAAAAAAAATAATTTTGTAGTGTTTTTGTCAGCTTCAACATTTACTTTTTTTTTCAAAGTAAAGGTTTAAAAGTGGCAGATACCTTTTCACCAGAAATAACAGCCACGCTTAGCTTCCAGCCACAGCTCTGTATCCTGCCAGGCAGGAAGTGAGGGTGTACATGCCATTACAGCGAGGCAACACATAAAGTGAATCAAGCCAAAGAGTCACAAGTTCAGTTACTTGATGGAGAGTCACCACAGCGAATGCACTCCTCCATTATCTGCTCCCTTATAGTGTCATCGTCATTGTTTGCAGTGTTAATAGGGGGGAAAAAACAAAATAACATTGTGGGATTTTAAGGTTGTGAGCTAGTTCAAGGCTGGAGTTTTCACAGTAGACAATATTAGAATGTAACAAGACGCATCTCAAATTCTCAAATTGGTGAGAAAGGTTTTCTTATCTGATTTAACTCCTTTATCAGCAGTCATGAGGCATTTCAGGCATTCACAGAGGAGACAGAGAAGGGCAGAGGCCTGGACTTTTTCCTTTTTGTTTGCTTATTGATTTGTTTCTGCAGGATCTCTTCCCTCTCTCCAAGGTCAGGGGTGTAGCTAAGGAATGTGTTTCTTCTGAGCAAGAAGATTTAATGTCCAGCTCACACAGCGTGGACTGGACCACTGCTCATTCGCTTATTTGGATTAAGTCAGATGAGCTCTCCTCTCCCCTCTGCTTTTCATGCTCAAATACAGTTCACTTACATTATTTTAATAGTATTAATTTATGATCCTTTTCTCCACTCATCTCAAGCTGCATTTTCTTCATTCCTCAGTCCACTCCAAACTGAGTTTTGTGCAAATGCAAAAATTGAGATTAATGATAGTCATGTGATATGACAGTGATGTTCAGGTCAGGAAGCTTCTACTTTCCCTTGTAGTGAACCCCATCACAGATGCAGTTGACCTCTCCCCTCTTTCCCACAGAGGCATAGCCGGGCTGGAGCCTGAGTACATGTGTGTGTGTGTGTGTCCTCAGTGGCACAAAGATGACCTACACCACTTTCACCTGTACTTGTCAGTCAGTCTTGAGGCCCCACCCTGAGGCTCTACACCCCTCCCAGTGCAGACTGAAAAGTCATGACATACCAACGATGAACATTCCTCCCTTCTCAGGTCACTGAGACGCAACAGATGAAGACTCTTCAAGGAGAAGAAGAAGAGAACATTTGGGGAGGAAAGAAGAAGTAATGAGAAGAGCCAGAAGGCTAAAAGACAGAGCAGAGGGAAAACGTAGGGAAGGAGAGGTGATAAGTGACCCCGGTGTTTTGCTGTGATCCACGTGGAATTGGAGAGCCTGGAACACCTGTTCTCTGTGGCAGATGTTATCCAGAGCTCTCTCACTGTGTGTCTCTAGGTTACTACAAGTGACTGCTGGAAATGCATTGAGCAATCGTAGAGAGACACGTTTGAATAGCTGGTTTACTTATATTTCTATAACCTTGAAGCTGGGGTGGTTTCAAAGTTGTCAAGGTACAGTTTGAGGATGTAGAGAAAAAACCCCAAACAAACACACACACACACATATGCTAACATGCTCTATCATTCTCTCTAGCAGCAGAAGCCTTACAATCTCATGCCCCTCCCTACTACTATTCCTCTCTGGCACATCACCATCTTTTGACTGAGCAGCGGCAGCTAATAACCAAAAAAGAATAATGATGAGGATGAAAACACAGGACATCGGGGGCAAGAGGAAAGGCCAGCCGAATCCGGGGATGGTGCTGCTCGTAAAGAGACGCCTGGAATAATGGGAAAGGAATGTGGTGTAACGACTCCCTTGGGTCCGGCCCAGCCGAAGGGTTTCTGGCCCAGTAACAACAAATGAGAATGCTTGAGGCTTGCAGGGTGCACACATAAGGGCTTTAACAGCACCCTGCAGTACACACACACACACTTATAGGCCTGCACATGCACATCGATCTACACAAACACACGCACACTCCCCCCCACCCCCTTCCTGTGCCGACCTACTGGAGTCGGCTGTTGTTGTTGGCTGCTTGCCGCCTTCGGAAGAAGCGCGCCCTCATCCTCTTGCTTCTTTCCTTTTCTTCACTCTTTCTTTTCCTCTTTCGTTCTCTCTCTCTCTCTCTTGCTGCCAGTGAAATGCTGATGACATGACATCTTCAGCAAAGTCCCTGGAAAAAGTGATTACCGCCCACCCTCACCCATATCAAATAATCCTATTTCTTGTCTGCAGTCCCGCCTTTCAGTTCATTCACCACTCAATATCCACCTCAGTGCCTCCTTCTTACTCCATCACCTTTCTGCCTTCATATGTTCCCGTGCAGCTGACCTTGCACGTGTGGGTGCACATGCATCTTTCTCTTGGCGTTAGCAGTCAGCTCACTTATCTATTGCCCCCAAAGTGGAGCCTATTATTTC